ATTGGATATATAAGCTGTCTAGGGAAATTAAAACCCAACCACCCCTAAATTAAAATAGATTTTCCTTAACCTTAACACCTCATCAAATCAATATTGTCTGCACTTATAAATTAATTAAATTTCTTTGAAAGTTTATTCCTAACATCACTAGACACTGGAATGAGACTATGGATTTTAAGTTTAATTTTTATAATTAAATTTATAAATTTAGTTTCAAGTTTTTAAACATGGAAATTTTCTGTGTTGCGATGGAATCATATTTTTAAAAAGAAAATAATTATCATATTTTGCTCTACTGTTTGTATCAAGCACTGTTTTTTTAAAAATAAAAATAACTGCCAAGAACACCGGATTATAAATCTTACTGTTCTTTCTTATTATTTTAAGATATATATATATATATATATATATATATATATATATATATATATATATATGTGATGGTCGGCTGAAAAGTTCATAAGCTGATCAAGATATAAATGTAAGTAGAAATACCAGTTGGTAGACTAAAAGATATTCAAGTGTACCAGCTAAACAGTCAGCTATTGTGAATATGAGTGGACATTGGGGTCAACGCCCAGCGGCGATAGTCTGTTTCATGCTTAAACACAATCTTCAGGCTTGGAGATTGCACTTAAGCATGAAACAGACTGTCACTGCTGTCAATGTCCACTTTTATATTTACAAATGCCCTAACCCTGATATTTAGTACTTTAACCCATAAATAAAGCACAATACCCACATACATATACATCTTATATCTTTAATTCTCAAAATGTGTGTGTGTGTTTATGTTTGTGATTGAATGTTGTTTATGCATTCCCATGATTTTCATCCAATTTTGATGAAATTTTTTTGTTTGGTACATAATTCTTCAATGCCAGTTTTGAGTCCAAATTGGCTGGAAAAAATTACAACCTTGAAGGTGTAAAAATGAAAAAACTGATTTTTTTACACTTTGCACAAAAATCAAAGGCAAAATTTAATGTCTGTAAAAAAACAGCATACAATCAATTTAGAGAGTTGAAATCTAACACAAAAGATTATTAGAATTATAAAAAAAAATTATATTATATATAAAAATTATTGTATATTATTATTATGATGGTCCATAGAAGAAGTTCCTTCCTTTCAAGATTGAGAATGCATTCAAATTGTTAACCCCCCCCCGCCTCAATTGGGGATGTGCCTCAGTTGCACTCAAATTGTTGTTACTAATATCAATTCTCAGATGGGCTGACTAAACTGCTCCAAAAAATGAACGGCAAAAATTCCAACAAATGAAACACCCAGTCAAAGACAGGTTATACTGCTATATATATATATATATATATATATATATATATATATATATATTACTTATATTATTTACACTGATCATTGACCTCATCTTTTTGGTATTACCACAACGTTTCCATTATATTTAATCTTTACTTGGATCGACAGACACTTGACAAAGACTAGAGGTTACAATGGCTAAAACATTGTTGATAACAAGAACAAATAACAACATTGGTCTAAATGTAGATAATATAAATAATGATAAATCCTTGTCCCAGAAATTCAGACAGGAAAGACTGTTAAGCTTGTCTATCTAGGATCAGTGTTGTATCTGCCAGTTACCCAGCTATTCTAAATTGGAGTCATTTATGCTTCCTGCTCAAGAAATCCAAGTAATATAATACGGAAAGGAATTGGGAGAGGAGAGGGTAATGAAGATGTGAACGGAGAAAAATAAGATGCTGTCATATCTGGTCTGGTGCTTCTATTCTGTATTTGGAGATTCTTGATAAAATACAAAGAAGAATCAGTAATGCTATCAATCCTGATCAATCTGGCACCTCGGCTTCAGTCACTATCCCACTGCCCTAACATAGCTTTTCTGTGTCTTTTCTATAAATATTTTCATGGTAATTATTCCTCTTTGGTACATCAACATTATGAATTTAAATGCAGTACTAGATTGGCAGCTAAATGTAACCATAAGTTCTATGCTAACAGTGTCATCACTATCACCTCTCACTAGTGGAATTCTCTTCTGACTTCTTGCTTTCAGTCAAGTTTGATCTTCAAAAATGTAAATGCAATTTTAATCATTATCTTCTATCTTAATTCCTGTTCTTTTATTGTTCTTTCTTGCTAATAATGTTTTCCTTTTTCTCATATTCTCTCACACTCAGTACACAACCGCTTACATCTTAGTGGCTTTATTGCCTTACTTGGGTTGAAATGATTAAAAAAATAAGTAAAAAAGCTAAAGAACAAAAGGAATAGAATACATGTGAATGTAGATAAACATTTATACAGAGGAGAACATTTGAAGTTGAAAGACCAAAAGACAAGTAAGGGGAAAAGACAATAAAATTGTGATGCATTTAAAATCTCTTTAACAAGGGAAAGAGAAAAAAAACAGACAAAATATAGGATGCAGAAAATATTTGAATATTCATTATTGCTTTTCATAGCATTCTTTGTGTAAGTAACATTTTAGAAACTACTTAAATAGACTGATCCCTCCACTTGTAAAAAAAATAGAGAAAACATTCTTTTTAACTTTTAGCACACTGCAATATTAATATTACTTCCTTTTCCACTACATTTTTTCAGGGCCTCTTAATTGCAGTATCCTTATTGTTAATTTCACTTGTTTTCTGATGCCATAGCAGGATATGACAACACAACTGTTAAATTCAAACACACTATTGTTCAGGGATTAGAGGCACCTTCAGTAGCAGGATAAACTTTTTCTACCACAAATGAAGTACTAAAGGCTAAATCATTTTTGTGCATTAGTATTCCTTAGATCTTCCTCAAACCATAACACTTGTCAGAATCAAAAAGATGAATTTTTATCGATTTGGGAGAGGTCTGTTTATAATATCAATAATGCCAAATCAATCCCAGACATTTACAAAAGGACTCCCCCCACTTCTAGAATGATTAAAAAAAAATCCGATTCTGACACGGCCTATAAATGCTAATGTACAAAAATTATTATTTACAGTAATTTTACACTTATTTATATTTGGACTATTTTCCTCAACTTTGTTGTTGTTTATCACAACGTTTCAGCCGATATACACTTGAGGAAGGCTGGAGTGCACAACAGCTGAAATGCCGTAATTAGTGTTGTAATAATAACAACAAAGATGAGGACAATAGTTCGAATTATGCAAGTATTTAATGATGACTCCTCATCTCAGAAATTAAGACAGAAATTACGATTACAAAAATTATTTCTTGAATATTTTTTAACTATGGGCCAGTCTATTTAGTGCTACACATTTTTAAAACTACTACCTTGTCGAGGTATTCCACTGGCTATAGAGAGCAAGTTCGATTTTCATTGAGTGCCCCATACTTCTTTTAACCTTGTGCCAGAACTAAGCTATGCTTAGTAAACAAGCAACAACATTTAGGAAAAATAAATAAAAATAGATAAAAATTAAAAAATACAAAGAAAATGTTGAAGGGGCAACAAAAATAATTTTTAAATTGTCAACACACATGAGAATCTTGATTATTATTATCATTATCGTTCTTTTCAGGTAGTAATGCAGATTCGGATTATATCATTATTTTTTTTTTTTTTTCATAATACTAAAAAATGAATCATTTTGAAATTATTGAATGTCAAATCACCGCTGCTTCTGCTGTTTAAAAACACGTGTTGACTGATAGCATGATACCAAACAAACCAATGTTTGTGTCAAGTTCAACGGAAATCAATAAACTAAAGAAACAATGTATACTTTCTGTTTTGCATCATCAAATAAATATTACGAGCACTTATGGTTCTTCTTTCATCACTTGCAAGATAAAAAACGGATCCGAAATATTTAACGTCTTCTTTATTTTTACCGCCAAGTCGAAAGTTCATTCATTGCTATATTTCAGTAATTTATCAAAAGACAAGTTAAAGAAGTCTACAATGAAATTTAGTGATTTTTTTTCTTTTTCATTATTCAAGATATATTTATTATTGTCAATTGTCATGGACTCCGATCGAAACTTAAACTAAACTAAACACGACAAAGTTCGTAAAATAGGATGTACAAAAATAAAAAATCAATTCCAATCAATTTGCTTCAGCGTGGAACAAGGGTTAGCGAATTTATCTCGCAGGCCATTCATTAGTGCGTAGCGAGTACGATCTTCACTGGATCTCCCACTTTTGTAACCTTGTGCCACACTAAGCTACCAACAATATAAAAAAAGTAAAAAGAGACTGATATCAAAATAAAGGAAAGCGAAATAATTGGAGATGGAAGTTTTTTTTTTATTAAATTTTTAATTAAAATAATTCACTGAAATTGAAAGCAACCCGATTACAAAAAAAAAAAATAATTAAAAGAAAAAAAAAATGATAATTTAAAAAAGTAAAAAAGAAAAAACAAGTACAAAAAAATGAAAATTCGTCTACCATTTGTAAATGATTTAAAATTTTAAAATTTTTTTATTATTTTATATTTTTATTTGCAATTTTTAATTTTTTTGATTGATGAATTCAGGTAAAAAGTTAATTATTTTACTTAGTAAAATAATTAAATCTAGTTAAAATTTACTAGATTTCTTTATAAATCGAGTCGAAAATGAACTTTTTAGAAACCTAAATTCATAGATTTTAAAAAAATTAAATTTGCAAATGACAAAATAAAAAATAAATAAGCTTAAATTGAAAGAATGCATAAAACGTGTCACAATGTTATGTCATAATTTCAAATTTTTAAATTACAAGAAAATATGTAAAATTTTTAAATTACAAGAAAATATGTAAAAAAAAGTATTGACTAAAAAAAAAAAATTAACAAAAAATAAAAATGTTTATTTTTAAACTACAGAAAAACTTTGCAGGAAAAAAACTCTTTGAAAATCATAGGAAAATCATAGGAAAATATATTGAAAATAGAAATGAAATAGGTTAAAAAATTAAATTCTAAAATAATTTGTCACTTTAGTTTTTTTAGTTTCACTAAGAATGCCACTACGCATTAACTTACCTTTTTTTCACTGTCTGCCGAAATTTATTTTAACTTTGCTTGTTCTTCCTTCTACAACCACATCCCTGCTTTTAAGCTGTGTAGTCAAGTTTTACAATATATAACCAACGGAACCGCTTGTCTATTGGTTAAAATCTACTATAAATGATGTCACATTTTCAGTCATCTAACACTAATTATTTATTAATGAAGTGCAAATCTATGTTTTCTCTAAGAAGGAAAATGCCACTATTTCTACGTCATTTCACGTGGTTGGTTATAGTAAGAATTAAAAAAAACAAAACAAAAAAAAAACCAGGATACATCATTTTTAGGGTGTGTGTGTGGGAACATCCTTGCAACTATATAGCTGCCTCCTTGGAAAATAGGGAGAGAGAGAGAGACAGAGACACAGAGACAGAGACAGAGACAGAAAGAGATAACAAACAAACAACAACAACAACAAAACAGCATCTGTGTGTCTGAGGTCTTTTAGTTCATCTTCGTGCACTTGCTTGATGAGAAAAGAGAAAAATCTAGGATGAGCAAACAACGAAAAATAAAAGTTTTGATGTGCAGTGGGGGCGGGAGTTCCCTTGTCAACTACCCCGGAGCCAATTTGTTCCAATCGTTTATTTTATTTTATTTTATTTTATTTTTTTGTTTTTTCACAGAAGAAAAAAGATGACATTTTTTTTTACTGTTAGTGTAATTCAAATTAAAATTTATTTGGTAAATAGTAAAAACTGTGTATAGCATCACAATTAATTAAAATAATTAAGAAGTTATTTTTTAAAGTCACATTTGCCATCATCATCATCTGTATTGGTAGTTACTAATGATACTAGAAAACGAGTGACAGCAGATCTTTTTTAATGACTCTAGCACTTAGTCTTCTTGCTGACTTTTTAGTAATACTAATGTTCACTCAATACAAAGCCCAAGAGCCACTGAAGATAGAGGTTTATTGAATGCAGAGTATGATATGAACATAAAATAAGGATATAGGAGATAGATAACAAGTTACCCTAGACTTAAAGTAAAGAGGTTAAAATAACAGGAAGCATCCACACAGGAGTCTATTCCACAAAGTAATGGTCCTTGGGAAGAAGTTATCTGAGTAGAATATCGTTCTTATCAATGAAATACAATGGGAATGAGCATGATTCAAGCTAGTGGTATGTAAAATGGCAGGTCTTAGCTGTAAAGTTCTGGTGGTGCTAACAATTCTTCCTCATATCTCAAATTCTTCCAGTTTTTTTGCAAAGTTCTTCAGGAGTGTTCCAAGTATTCCATAAATGAGGGGTATAACTGTCATTTTCATATTCCACCATTTTCCAGTTCTATGACAGATCCAGATATTTTATCCACTTTTGACAATTTTCATTTGTATTCTGGTGTTTGATCTTTTTCTTTTTGTTTATACTGATTGAATATGAACAGAATAGGTGAATATGAATATGAACAGAATAGGTGAATATGAACAGAATAGGTGAATATAAATATGAACAGAATAGGTGAATATAAATATTAACAGAATAGGCGAATATAAATATGAACAGAATAGATGAATTGCTTAAATTTCAAAATCTGACAGAATTTTTCCTTTTCTATAATTTTGAGTTTATACATTGACCATTGATCTCTTCAAAAGTTTAACATTCTACTTAATATTCATGTTCATTTTAATAATGGTGTTATTTTGATGGCTTTTTTTTGTTTGTTTGTGTGTTTAGTGGCATATCAACTCCTCATGGGTCATTTAATACCAAAATTTAATTTTCTTGGGAGCATTAGTAATTTTTTTTCAAAAATGTATTGCTGGTAATTTATTTTTTAATATGAAAATGCATCGCAGGCAATTTCACTATAAAAATATTTTTTTATACTTTCATAGTATTTAACCCCTGTTTGGGGGTTAACTATTTGCCCTAATAGATGCTAAAACCCTGGTTCAGGGTTGACCAGAGCACAACAGCAATTAAGATGTGGTTCCATGTTCCTCAAAACCTCGAATCACCTGATTAGAGGTCTTGCTGCTGGATGTAGTTTATCATCATACCCAGGACGATTTTGATGGCATCATTTATTCCAGAGTTATCACAAGTCTCTTCAGAGCTCTCTCAAGAGTGCCAGTAATGATGAGTACAAAAGTTACTTTCATATTTCCCCTTTTTATTTTTAGTTCTTTGACAAAGTCAAGTTATCTTAACATGTTTTTATTTTCTATCATTCTGGTTTATTGGAACAGCAACATCCAAAATATGACAGATTTTCTTTTCATTATTTAAGACAACTAGATCTTATTTCCTGACTTCAATTGGGTTATAAATGCACTACTTGACAGCTCTTGCATTTTTTTCTTTTGTTCATTATGACTAAATCTCAGGCACTATCTGACAGCTCTTGCTTTCTTTGGTCATGATGACTAAATCTTGTCAGCTGACCTGAATTGGGTTCTACATGTATTATTTGACAGTATGTTTCTGATGACTATTGTCTCCTAACCTGAACTGGCTTAGACATTCACTATCTGACAGCTCTTGTATTTTTATATTCTTGATGCCTAGATTCTGTTTCTTGAACTGTATTGTGTTATGTGTACACTATCTGAAAACTCTTGCTTTCTTTGTTCATGGTGACTCAATAACTAGACATATATTTTGTCTCCTGACCTAAATTGTGATATACATGCACTGACAGTTCTTGCTTTTTTTGTTCAAAATTATTAGATTTTTTTTTGCCTATATTAAATGATGTTTTTTAAATTTTCACCTATTCCGGACAAGCAGACCAGATCTATTCATCTTTATTATTGTTGTTTTTACTGTTGTGGTACATTCACAATGAGGCAAATACATTCTTTTCATCCGTTGTTGATGTTTATATATTAAAAACTATTGTTAATGTTTTCAGTAAACAGAGGGGTCAAAGGAAAATCTCTGTTAAATTATAGACTTCTTTACAGTGGGAAGAATCATTATCATTCCATTTATAATTTGTACAACAGAACACAATCCTTGTGTTAACTATGTTGTTTTATCCAATCCAGTCAGTGGCTTTCTTCAGGTGTACTATATTGAAAGAGAGTCTCTTTTCCCAGTAGTGCAAAGTGGACCATTCTATTTAAGTATTTTTACAAGTGGACCACTCTATTTAAGTAGTGCTGAAAAACATAACAGTAATACAAGGTGAACAAAAGTAACAACAGATTTCTGTCTTCATGGCTGTCAGTTGAATATTTATTTACCATTTGTATTACAGTGAAAAAAGTAGAAGGTGTGACCCTTGACCCACCCTGTATGTAAGAAATGGCAGAATAATAGTTGATATTAACTACAGTTGGCTGAGTCTCACACAAAATCATAGATGTGAGTATTTAGTGTGGATCAAATAATGGTTTTCGAGATAAGCTTATTAACTATTCAATAGTAGAGAGGCACTCGTTGATCTTACTTATTATAAAACGCAGATTGTGTGTGTGTCTGTACGTTTATATATTGGATTGGATTTCCTACATTTATCAACTGATTTCAACAAAACTTCACAGGACTGCGTAAAATTACCTTGCGGTGGTTCTGACAGTGCCAAAAATTGAAAAAACACAATTGTTTTTGCACAAAATCAATTTGAAAACATGATAAAACACGATTCTGCCACCAGAATGAAAGGGGGACAACTCATATCGAGTTATACTTATTATAAAACCCAAGTTTGTTTGTGTGTGTGTGTTCGTTTATATATGGGATCGGTTCCTACATTTTTCAACCGATTTCAACAAAACTTCACTTTTTTTTGGCAGGTAGTGTTTTTATTGTCTTGCACTTTTTTCTTTTATTTTACATTCAGAATGCTTTAAAAATTCCATTTACAAGACAATTGTTTATAATAAAATTCTATTCAATCGATAGACTCATAAAGATTGAAAACAATGTTTTTGTTTGAGTTTGACCAATTCGTTAAAAAAAACAAAAAACCAAAAACTAATTAAGACATGCGTGTCCGTCAACCTTAAACAATAATCTTTGTCAATTTTATTTTTCAGTCTTTATGATGGTCGATACTTGATCTATCTCTAACTGTTACATCCCCAGGCAATGCCAGGCTCTACTGCTAGTATTCACTAAGTGTAGATTAGCCTAATGAAAACCCAATAATAATAAGAATGGTCTGTGAGGCAAGTTCTTTATTAATACTGTAATAAGGTAACCTAAGCAATTACTTTATCTTAATCTGAATTTAAACCTTATGGTCTTCAGTGTTGTCATTGCTGAGATATTATTAACTGTTCTTTATTATTTGAGATGATAAATAACAAAATTTAATCCTGATGAGACATTTTATTTCTCATGATACATTCAACTAAAACGGTCACAAAAAATTGATTTGACGTGTTACAGTATCTATGTCTTTGGCTTATCTATAACAGATGTTACATGATATTAGTCTTGCTTAGTCAATATGTACAAACTTTGGTTTGACTAATTCAGTGATAGTTTATTTGTATTCCTTTTAGTTTATTTCTGTTGACCTGTCATCTCCTAACTAGGAAGATGGAAGACACTTGAGGAAAAGAAGCAATTTTTAAACCATTTGATAAATTTACTTCAATGATAGAACAAATGTGGTAGTTAATATGCTTATCTCAGTTGAAATTAATAACGTCTTCTTTTTTTTAGTGTTGATTGAATGATTAACATAAATGGAAAATAGAATAAGAGTAATTATTACTGGGTAGAGTCAGGTTTTATTTATATGTATATATATATATATATAAAACAAAAGATCATTATTTACCACTTCAAATTGAGAATGTTGCCATATTTCCTGAGAAATGGTCAATACATTTGCTACTTTTTATGGAAGAGGTTGGTGAATCAGAAGTTGTTCATGATTGGACAATAAAAGCCAGAGAAGTCACAGTGTGTTAAGGTTACATCATGAGAATAGTTGTAGCTGACAAATAGTGCACAAGTTGATATCTGACTAGTATCAACTGGGTTGCTGTGGAGCAGTAGTATGATACTGTAAGACC